ATTATTATTATTATTATTGTTTCTTGCGTTATCAACCTAAGAACGTGCCGTCTATGCGTCAATAGCATGATGGTGACATGAACTATTTGAGGTTAAACTTTTTCCAATCTTTAAGATATATGGGCCACCAATTGTAACTAACTGCTCGGACATTTACAGATTTCAAAGCGTTTGCAAAAAAATAGGTTAGTGCGTTCCATTTTTACCTTAATAGCTTATCCCATGTGCTCATCCTATGTGCTCTTTTCTCTCTCTCTCTCTCTCCTACCTCTCTCTTCCTCTCTCTCTTCCTTGTCTCTCTCTCTGACCTGTGGTCAGTGGAGACCAATATCTCGTTGAAACTCTCCGGTCAGTACTTACAGACCTATGAGGTTGCAAGACTTTTATTGGTCTCCTCTAGACCTGCCTACCAGTGCAAGCTGCTGCTATGTTATTTTTTTTCCAAGAGCGGAATAACCACTATTAGTTATGTGTGGTCTGTCTGTCCGTCCGCCCGTCCCATTTAGATCTCGTAAACTAGAAAAGATATTGAAAATCCGACATCATCTAATTTTAGAACTTTTAAAGTACTGATGCAACGGCTACTTTATTCTTTTTTGAAAGCTAAAATTTAATTTTTGAAATTAACTATGCATGCAGTTTTTCCCTAAAAATACACCATTTCTACAACTATTCACTATAACTAGTAAAAACACGGGAGACTATATAATAAGGAGCTTATTAATTTTCTATATTTTTAACACATATATGCAAACGGTTTTAGAATTATTGTCAAAATTTGTTTTTAATTTATATTATTAAACTAATTAATTTCTGGCACTACCTACCTAGTGCCAGAAATTACCTACATTTCAAAGAAAAAAAGTCTATAGTATAGTGTGCATATAACAAGAACCTACCTTTTTACCAACCTAAGCGGACCACAGCGGGGACCGATTTTTAGTATTGTAATATGCACAATGAAGTAACGTACTTCTTTTCTGGCCTAAAATGACGTCAAAGTCATGAAAACCTACAGCAGGTTAATGCTGTTTAATGCTGATTAGAGCCTGAACTATAACAAAATGTATGACTTACTGGTTGGTGTTTTTGATGTGGATGTACTGCTCATGGTTGGTGTTGGGTTTTCATTAGTTGTTGCAGTCAGTTCGCTGATGTATTTTGTTTGCGATGGCATTAAGGTGACACTAGATGAGGTTTCAGTAAACAACTCGATTTCGGAAGCACTCTCTGTAGCTGAAGCTGTGACTTCGTTCGTTGTTGCAGTTGGTTGGATAACAGATTCTGTTTGCGATGGCATTAAGGTGACACTAGATGAGGTCTCAGCAGACAACTCGATTTTGGAAGCACTCTCTGTAACTGAAGTTGTGACTTCGTTCATTGTTGCAGTTGGTTTGATAACAGATTCTGTTTGCGATGGCATTAAGGTGACACTTGATGAGGTTTCAGTAGACGAGTCTATTCCGGATGTACTGCTCGTGGTAGGTTTTGTGTTTTCATCCGTTGTTGCGGTTGTTTCGATACTAGATTCTGTTTTTGACGGCATTATGGTTTCGCTGGATGTGGTTTCAGAAGATGTATTGCCTGCGGTTGGTAATATTGATACATTTTAATCTATCTATCTATCTATCTATCTATCTATCTATCTATCTATCTATCTATCTATCTATCTATCTATCTATCTATCTGTCTATCTATCTATCTATCTATCTGTCTGTCTGTCTGACTGTCTGTCTGACTGTCTGTCTGACTGTCTGTCTGTCTATCTATCCATAAAAAAAGAAAGAAGGGGCGGGAAAAGCATGTCAATATCATGGTCTCAGATAGGATCTATCTTATCTATTATCTATCTCTCTAAATAGCAACAAGGAAATTAATACTTGAGTATTTACAGATCATCTGTAAATAATTATAAATAATTGTGTGGCTTTCTCGCTGGACCCATCCATTTTTTAGCTTCCTGCGCATCGTAACGAGCTCCCACTTATACTTTTGACCCTTGAATTTTTGTTTTAAGCCTTTTTTTTTCTTCTCTAATGGAACAATTTGAAAGGAACACAAAATCCGCCATTTAGTTCACTCTTTACACAAGACTATTTTATATGTTACTTCTAGATCTAGACCTTACATCGGGGCTCTATCTAGAGACACACTTATACGCACTTAAACTTATTTTTCCCTTCATGTATAATAGCTAGTAGACTTACAAATAGCCATATCTCTGAGGACTGTATTGAACAAACAAAAAAATGAGAAAGGCGGTCAACAGATCATATGTGGTGCCCCCATAGCTCAACAGACTAAGGTATAGGGGGTGAATGTGTCAACGCTGGAAAGTTACGCACGCTAATCATTTCGTGCTTAAAGAAATGAAAGTAAAATACTATATGTGCTTTTAAACATTGCAGTTTAAGCTTTATAATGCCGTGGGAGAAACCGAAAATACAAAAGGTTTATTTTAGTAAGCTTGTGATGTTTTGCTAATTTCAGCGCTAAGACT